TAGTCGTTTCAATTGACTAATACAAAGTTTATAAAACAGAGTTTCAAATATAGCTTTTGCAAGTTTTGTGCGTCTACTAACCTGAAAATGCGCACTTTGCAGACCCGAGCGAAAATCTTTTTTCTTTTTGAGTATTTCTTTTTTATTTACTGCTAATATTTCAAGCTGATTAGCGTTTAGTAGCTGCGACTATCGCACACTAACAGCACATTCCAAACCAGCCCCTTTCATTCGCATTCACTTTTGGTAATTATGAGAAAAATTGGCAGAACTTTCTTTACAACCTAATAGTTTCTGTTAGAAGGGCGGCATTACATTGCCATTTGTGAAGAATGTTTGCAGTATAATGTCAGTTAATAGAAGTTTTTTTTCACAGCGTTGGAGAAAAAAACCTTTGTCATTCAGTACCGCATTGTTATGGGAAAGGAGAAGTCTCACATTCTCGTTGGAAACATAAGAATCAATGAAAAAATTTCAGAAAAAGAGTGCAACAACTGATATTTGAAGCGTTGTGAATAGGGGAATAATTTGCCGCAGGCTGAAAATGCAAATTCTAAAGTAGAATCTTCATCTTGGGATTTATGTCGTACTCACAAAAATCAAATCACGCCAATTTGCTGAGGTTTATTTTGAGAGAAAAACACTTCCGCACCCTGTAAGAAGTCAATTCTGCTTTTTGTTACGCATCCTTCAGACTTTCTGATTTTGATGTTTCTGTGAATGGCTATGTTTTAGGTTGTATCGTATTTACATTTTTTTCTCTTTTTTTTCTCTGAAATGCAGCTTATATTTAATGTAAGCTGTCACAGGACCTTTGTCAAAATCGTTAAAACATAGGAATATAAACATCATGTGATTGTACGGTGATGGCGCATCAAAAAACAACGCCTAGAGATTTGATAGTTATCGTGCTTTTTTTCATTTTGGGCCGAATTTAAATATTTGAGTTCAAAAGAGTCCTTGAACCGTTTTACGTTCGTTTGATGGTTGGCAAAAAAAGAAAGAAACGGTTGAGATAGCGCCGACTTCATTGGCCGCGTGATCATTGCTAAGACACGGATCATACTTGATTCGTTTGGTCCACTTGATCCACTTCGCCATTGGTCAAAACAGTGAATTGACCAGCAGCGAGGTGGATGAGGTGGATATCCCCTTCGCTATCGGTCAGTTTACAGTTTCGACCAATAGCGAAGTGAATAAGTGGGTCAAGCAGATCAAGTATGGCGCCTGTTTAGGCCCGCGCCGTACTTGGTCCGCTTGATCCACTTGATCCGCTTGATCAGTTGCATCCACTTCACTATTGGTTAGTTCGCTGAATTGACCAATGATGAAGTGGATCATGCGGGATCAAGTATGGCGCGTGCCTAGCTCAAATCTGTGAAAGTTCTGCTCCCTCCTAATTTTTTGTACAATGTAGTATTCCTATTTCAAAGCAGATTGAAAATTTCAGGAAACACCCGTGTGGCCTTCGCTGGGAGAACGGCCAGCCCTTCGAAAGTTGGGGAGTGTGAGCTGTGAAGTTTTGGCGTGGTCTGACGACGAAGAAGACATGCATATTCTTCACACTGATGAAACAAAACCGTATGTCAACCTGCCACGGCGTGAGTTTTGTTCAGTATTCGGAAGTTTTTTTAACATTGTTGTTTCTCTTTTGGCTTAAGATCTGATTTTCAGTGCCACTTCATTCCGCTTCCCCTTCGACAGATTCCGAATACGACTTTTGCAAAAAGTCGGCTAGAAAAAGCAGTGAAGTACCCTCCACTGAGTTAGAAAGCGAGACAGATGCTACTACAGATAATGAAGGTAATCCATTTCTATATGCAGAATATTTAAACTTTGCATGTTTTTTTCTTCATTTTTTCAGTTGAAGCATAGTGTGCCCCCTCTTCTGGTTGGTAGTAATTGCTTAAAGGCAGTGGACGGACAAAATGGACCCTTACCAGATTTTGGTGGAGTTAGGTAGTAGACCCCCAAGTACACGAACCCCACCTGCTGTTTCATGCGCCAATTCCTGAAAAATGCGCTTCAAAATCTACCAATGACGACCATTCAATGGAAGTGGGCGGGACTGGTGATTATTTGAAGCGCATTTTTTAGGACTTAGCGCATGAACTGGCCGGTTGGGTTTGGGCTACGATGTAATTGGCGGGGTCTATTACCTAACTCCACCGAAATCTGAGAAGGGTTCATTTTGCCTGTTTACTGCCTTTAATTTGCTTTTACGCAGAAAGCCGAAGGGCTGTGTTTTGGCTTTTTGCTATCTTATAGTTCATAGTCTGTTCAAATGGTTCATTATGGTTCATTCTTCTTGGTTGAATTCAAAAGTTTTTTAGTCACCTTCCGCGATAGGGAGCAGAGCACCAGTGATCGCGAAGCCGAACCAGGCCTGGTATGTGTAGCCTCATTTGTGTTTTTTTTTGCTTTTTCGACTTACTATTACTGTGTGAATGTTGGTGTTTTTCTTATTTCCGCAATTTCTATTCTTTTTTCTCTCAAGGTCTTCGAAATTTTGTACAATTATGAAGCTCAAAAAAGCGACGAATTGAACCTGAAGGCGGGCAGTACAGTCAAGCTGATCCGCAAAACGTAAGCAAATGTTACATTCCCTAAATAAAAACTGTGCATTTGAAGTTCTCGCAGGGAAGAGCAATCCTGGTATTATGGAGAACTTGAAGATGGAACGCGAGGCTTATATCCAGGCAATTATGTCAGACTCTTGGGTATGCTTTCGTAGACCTTATCAAGTGACTTTACGATTGTGGTTTTTAGGATCTGACGCGAAATCTATCTCTGCTGAAGAGATCACTGAGCCTCCAACAGGGAAAGAGCTCATAGGCAGAGGAGCTTGCGCTGAAGTTTACAAAGTCGTTTTCGAAGGAGAGGTAGCGTGTTCTGGTCCTTTATTTCCGCAGTCATCATTACAAGATGTTTAGTTTGTGGCGTTGAAACGATTACGAGGAGAACCCAAGCCTTCAGACATAGAAGGTAAGCTTTTGCCTAATGTGGTTTGTTTTGTCGAGGTCCTTCAATATGTATCCCTCTGCATTACCCCGTATATTTTTCAAGTCAAGCTATTTTTCTATATTTTTTATACATTTCTTGTTGTCAAGACCAGCTGCCTAGAAGCTGAGCTAAGCTTACTGTGAAGCTTTACTTCCTTTCTACGTTTTCCTATAGTTATGTTTTTCAGCG